CTGCTACTCCTCCTTTCATTCATTTCCTGCCTGCTTTGCATGCTTTTATTTATTTGTTTATTGGATGTAATCTTCTTTCTGCTTTCTTTAACAGAAACGCCGTGCTGACTGGCCAGACCTTTGGCAGCATCACAGGGCAAGAGCTACCAGAAAAGCAGGTGAAATCAGCATTTTGTATCAGGGCAGATTCACCAGATCCCCCCGTGAGTGCAAAGACTTTGTGTGGTGCCCACGTGCCTCCAGCAGCAAGGATGCAAACCAGCCCCAGGAACGGAAACTGTATTTTTTATCCTTGCTGCTCCCTTCTCCCTTTTGTGTTGAGCTCGTCTTGTTTAGTCTGCAAGGAAGCAGGATCGGACTTGGACAACACGAGCCACAACAACAACATCAGCCTTTCCCAAATCACTTTTCCTCTCTCCCTGGAAAAGGACAATTTCCCTGTTTTGCACCACTGAGGCTGCAGTCAAACAGGGACCTACCTTGTAGAAATGCTGCAGCCAAACAAGTAAGGGACATTGTTAAGATGAAAGCCTTGCTCTGTATTTTACACGCTCGAACCACATTTTTCGTGTCTATATTTAGTAAAAGGTTAATTCCAAATCAAAATAAATCCTCCTTGCTACTACCTCAAACAGGCCATGGTCTCTGTACTCAACCCCCTGAACCAATTCAATTGTTTCATGTTGTAAAGTGGCGGGGTCATGTTAACATCTTTAGTTCTCTAGGTTCAATTATTTCATTAAAAAAATCCAAGCCTCAATACCAGAATTTGGCCTCTATTCAGAAGTAAATTACCTCGTTTTTAGCAGAGGTATTTGCTATCGGAAAACATTAAATAGAACTTTAAGCTTAATAAATTAGCCATGGTGGAAAACAGCACGGCTCTGATCCTATCCATATCCAGGAAAACACATGTGCACACCATGTGCACGTGGTTGTCTGATACAGGAACACAACCAGTGCAGAACCGGAGTGACTGAACAACAGTTGAAATCAGGGGTAGCTGATTCAGCCACCCTTCTAAGAAACAAAACACAGAACTCCAGCAGTTCTTGATAGAGTTTTTTTGGAGCTACTGACTGTCCTAATTCACCCAACAAATCACCTGGTAGCTGTAAGAGGGCTTTCCTTTTCCTGCATTCAGGTTTAATCTGATCGCTGATCTTATCCACCTGATCTCTTAGCAGGGGTTACTGGAGATTGCAGGGGATAGCACTGTATAGATGCCCAAGTAAATGTTAGCACCTTTTTTTTTCCCTCTCCTCCATTGCTTGCCCACACACACACCACCCAGAATATTTATTGTGCTGATGGTTCCTGCAGGCAAAAAAAGGATTTGTTCAATAGTGTTAGCCTAAAGCTATCCAGAGTTGCCCAAAATAAGAAACGAACGGTGTATTATAGCTTTAAGCAGGCTGCAGGGGGTATTTCTAAACCAAGATTTTACTTGCCAATTTTAGATCTCAGGAGGTAATAGATCATCTTGACATATGTGTTTTTCTAATCTTGGCTAGAGGTTATGAAACAACAACAAAATTCCTCTTACCTTTCGCAAACTTCATATAATGGACACGCTTCTTGGAAGATTTGGATTTTTCCTCGAGACTAAATTTCTTCTGGTCCCTTGCTGAGGGCTCTAAAAAAAAATACAGGTTCCAGCTCCATTACAGAATCACTAACCCCAGGATTAAAACACCAGTGTACTTAGCTTTCCACCTCAGAATTCAGGCTCAGTAACAGATCACAACATATTCCTTTAGAAAACATGGCAGGTCTTGCCCGAGACATGCTCCTGCAAGATTTCTTGGGCACATTCTCTTCCTTTCCCATTTCCAACCTGATTTGAAAAGGGAGATGCAGGTATTTCAGGTCAAAGGTAAAGCCTGGTTTAAAATCATTTCTATGGTGAGTAGAGACTAATCAGGTCAGGGTCTATTGTGCTGTTTGTTATGAAACCTTCTCATGGCCAGAGCCTGAGAAAGCTGTAAGAAACAGGCAATACAAAATAAAACAGTAAACATGAGTGGATAGAAAGAAGGATATCACAGAAAATAGGCCTTTCATTTCTAACAGCACTCGAAGTGCCTCTCTCTGGATACAGTGTAATACAGCTACCTAAGGAAATTAAAGTGTGGCAGAGCTTTAGTATCTTTGAGGCCACCTGGAACAAACTGTATTAATCTGTATTATTTTTCTCTCCTACCTTCCAGCACAGAGGGGCAGGATCTAAATTACCCTCTTGCAATGAATCCTTCTCAGCTAAGTCCCAAATTTTGCTCAGGAGATGCTTGGGAGCATCTCCTGTTGCAGGCCAAAACCATGGGAAGGGCTGTTAACTATTTAACAGCAGAAAAAACACAAATTTTTGCACCTTGGCAGGCTCATTTCTAGGTACAGATGAACTGTCTGCATGCACCAAAACCATGGGAAGGGCTGTTAACTACTTAACAGCAGAAAAAAACACAAGTTTTTGCACCTTGGCAGGCTAAATTCTAGGTAGAGATGAACTGTCTGCATGCCCAGAGCCTGCTAATCGAAAAGAAAGTC